GAGACTCACTCTTCTCTCTTTCTCTCTCTTTTACAAGCATGCAAACCCTGAACCATGTTGTAGCTTCCACTTTTGCCGCTTCCAGCTCTCTTTATTCACATGCACTCACCTCTTTCCCCACTCCAGTAGCTCTGAGTTTTTTCCACGTTCATGGCGGTCTCAGCAGACGTCGATGCAGTGCTACAATTCTTGAGGAAAAACGGGCTTTCAGATGCAGAGTCGGCTCTCAAAGAGGATATGATTGAAAAAGGCGATCTGGGTTGTCTCGATTACGAGAAATTCTTGTTTCCGATGGTGCCTCCGCCGCCTCCGGTTAGAATCCCGGCGAGTTTCCGGCGATCAGAGGTTCCAGGCGGCGGAGAATGCTCGAGATCGAGTTCGCAGGAAGACGATGAGTTTGTGAGCATGGGGTCTTCTACTTCTAATATGTGCTCATCATCAGGTAGTTCAAAGTTATTGACTTTGATCAAAATTCAGCTTCTGGTTGATTGCTATAAGCATATTCTTATCATTTCAGTTTGTTGTTTCTTCTAATATGTTAAATTGAAATCGGCCCAAAAAGCAAAAAGAAAACTTGTGCATTGCTGCATGGAACTTCAACAACTGACATTTCTTTTGTTATGTTTCCTTTCTTTCCTCACATTTTCTTTTCCTTGAATTGTGCTTTAGCAAATTGTCTTTTAGTCACTGATGATATGCACATGAAAAGGCATCCTGGAAAATCAAATATCCATAGAGCACCTATAATATCAGTAACTTAAGGCTTATTGAATTTCAGTCTTTGTAAGATTTTCTATTGCTTCCCTAGTTCTTCAGCCAGGACACAGAAGATTTCCTAGTGATTATCTTGCCATTGTTTCTTTCTGTTAGTTGATAGTTAATTAGAGAAGTCTCTCCCTTTTTTCTTTCACAGAATTTACAAATCCGTATGGAATTCGATCAACATCTCCAAGTGGTTCCAAAGCCTCATCTGATAGATTCTCTCAATTTGGCACTGCCCGTGATTACCATGATTTTGATATGCAAAATGACCTGTTCTGGCACGATGAGAAAGATGATGGAGACTTCATGACTCCTTGCTTTGAAGGGCCAGACTTCTTTGCCTGTCCCAGTGAGGATAAGTACATCATGACTTCGGACACCGACAAGCAAAACGAGAACCTTCCGGGTCTGAATTTTAAATCTGAAGCATTTCAATCAGATATAAGCCTCGATTACTTGGACAAGAATTGTCTTACTAATATTTCTCCCGTGGATGATAAAAGTGAGCTTTATGTAACAGATCATTATAATTTTGATAAGAAAAATAACCTTGAAGGAGGCTTTGAGGAGGAGCCTGAGGGACGTGCTCCTCCTGCTTCTTCAGTCCACCTTTACAATTGCTGTGTTGGAGCTGAAGGATTTTATGGTGAACATCCTGCAGATTGCTGCTACCGGAGCTCAAAAGAAACTGATTTCAATAATTGCCAATTAAAGGTTTTGGGGGACATTCCTCCCACTGACATTGTTTCTGCTCCAAATCATAGAATAAGCAAGAGTTCTAAAAATGACCAGGTTGAAAACTTTAAAGGCTCCTCTGGTTTAGATGGTAAGGTTGTAGAGAAAGATTTCATGCAAAAAGGAATTGATGGCTATGGAGTTGGAGACAGTGAAGTAAATGAAGAACCTTGTGAGCCTGAGGCTGCTGCTGATGGAGATGGTGTTGACGCTGATGAGGTTCTGATGTACAATGCTAACGAGGATGAATATGAAGTTTTTGAATTAAGAATCATACACAGAAAGAACAGGTTTGTTGGGAATAGTATGCTTTCTATGGTTTTGGTTCTGTCATAGCTAAGCTAGGTTCTGATGTCCGTGCTGTTAAGCTAGTTTTTGCCACTTGTAAGGCATTGACAACTTATTGATTCATCTTGACTAAGAAGAAGCATTTAATTCTTGGTGTCCGTGCTGTTAAGCTAGTTTTTGCCACTTGTAAGGCATTGACAACTTATTGATTCATCTTGACTAAGAAGAAGCATTTACCTTGGGAGGATATTTTCTTATCTATGTTTTTATAGAGGTTTGAGCTCATGTACGTGTGTATTGATAGGTAGCTTTCAGTTTTACTCAAGTGTTGTGCCGTTTACAGGACTGGATTTGAAGAAAACAAGGATTTCCCCATTGTGCTAAAGACCGTAATTGCAAGCAGATACTACATAACAGAATATCTTGGTTCGGCAGCTTTCAGTAAGGTTGTACAGGCTCATGATCTTCACACAGGAGTCGATGTTTGCCTTAAGATCATAAAAAATGATAAAGAGTTTTTCGATCAGAGTTTGGATGAGATTAAACTTCTAAAGTTTGTCAACAAAAATGACCCTGGAGATGAACACCACATTCTGCGATTGTACGACTACTTCTATCATCAGGTATTTCTTTCTGATCCAATGTGAAAAGAACTTCAAATAATTTGCTTCATTTGAGTGGGACTTGATAGATTTCATTCACCAAGGCTAAGTTTATTACCCTATAATTGTTATATATGTAAGAGGAGGAGGAATGATGACTCTGTTGGGTTGATTGATTGGAATTCTTACCATGGCAAGCATTCTTCAAATTATTTAATGTGCCCAAATTTATTCTTGCAAAACAGGAGCATCTCTTCATTGTTTGTGAACTCCTTCGGGCAAACTTGTACGAGTTTCAGAAGTTCAGTCAAGAATCTGGCGGAGAAGCTTACTTCACAATAAGAAGGTTGCAGGTGCGTGTTTTATTAACCTGTAATGTTTTCCCTACTGGATTCCATCACTATTAGCAATGGCTTTTCAGCTGCTTTAAAAATTAATGGTGCCCTCTTAACAGGTCATAACCCGTCAATGTTTAGAGGCATTGGATTACTTGCATCACTTGGGAATTATTCATTGTGATCTAAAGCCTGAAAACATTCTTATAAAAAGTTATAGAAGATGTGAAATAAAGATCATTGATCTTGGAAGCAGTTGTTTTCGCACGGACAACTTGTGCCTATATGTGCAATCTCGTTCCTACAGAGCTCCTGAAGTCATTCTTGGCCTCCCTTATGACGAGAAGATTGACATGTGGTCTTTGGGCTGTATCTTGGCTGAGCTATGCTCTGGGGAAGTATGTCTCTGTTTGCCTCAATTTTATTCATTATGTTCGGCTCTGTTTTATTAATAGCCTATCAAATGATGCTTTCTTTAGGTTCTCATCAACTTGAAGGAATAATTCCTTTGGTAAAATTTTTCATACATAAATACAGTTGTGTTCATAATATCTATGTCTTCATCAGGTGCTCTTTCCAAATGATGCGATTGTAATGATCCTTGCACGTATGATTGGAATGCTTGGTCCTATTGATCTGGATATGTTAGTGAGAGGTCAGGAGACAGACAAGTACTTCACAAACGAGTTAGATCTTTACCACATAAATGAGGTGCATACTCCAAATCTCTCTCTAAATGAGTAGTTATAGACTTTTACAGCAGTTTCCGGTTTTTCACTTAATAGTAAATCATCTTTACTTTTCTATTTGTACTTAACGAATATAGCATATGGACTAACGCTTGCCATCCCAGTATGTGCAATCTCGTTCCTACAGAGCTCCTGAAGTCATTCTTGGCCTCCCTTATGACGAGAAGATTGACATGTGGTCATTGGGCTGTATCTTGGCTGAGCTATGCTCTGGGGAAGTATGTCTCTGTTTGCCTCAATTTTATTCTTTATGTTCGGCTCTGTTTTATTAATAGTCTATCAAATCATGCTTTCTTTAGGTCTCATCAACTTGAAGGAATAATTCCTTTGGTAAAAATTTTCATACATAAATACAGTTGTGTTCATAATATCTATGTCTTCATCAGGTGCTCTTTCCAAATGATGCGATTGTAATGATCCTTGCACGTATGATTGGAATGCTTGGTCCTATTGATCTGGATATGTTAGTGAGAGGTCAGGAGACAGACAAGTACTTCACAAACGAGTTAGATCTTTACCACATAAATGAGGTGCATACTCCAAATCTCTCTCTAAATGAGTAGTTATAGACTTTTACAGCAGTTTCCGGTTTTTCACTTAATAGTAAATCATCTTTACTTTTCTATTTGTACTTAACGAATATAGCATATGGACTAACGCTTGCCATCCCATATCCAGGAGACAAGCCAACTGGAATATATAATCCCTGAGGAGTCCTCCTTGGAGAATCACCTGCAAGTAACCGATGTCGGGTTTATCGACTTTGTTAAAAGCTTGGTTGAGGTCAATCCCGAGAGACGCCCAACGGCGAGGGAGGCAATGGAGCATCCATGGCTTTCCTACACGTACGAATCGAGTCCTTTCTAAACCTGTGGGGTGGGTAATGGTTTCCCCTCGTGGCTTTATTTGCTGTACATTCAGTTTTGAAGGGTACATTTGTGAGCAGAGTTGAGTTGCATCCTGTGAGGCACAGGACTGAGTGGGATGCGCTTCCAATATGCAATATCAGTTTTGGTTTTGTGTACATGTCCTGTTTTGCATTGTCCTGTCGTATATTCTCATGCTGATTAACATATTTATACTTTGTTCTTTGTACAAAATGCTCCCCATAAGCAAATCTCCGAGTGGCTGGGTCACAGAAAATGTAATAAAATCCTTTTGGCGTCGATTTGGTTCTTTTAGATGCCAATGAGTTTTAATTTTCTACGTTGGTCGTTTCCTCATTCGGTATGTTATCCAATGCAATCCAATCCAATTCAATCCCATACACCAAATGGTCGTTTTCTCATTCGATATGTTATCCAATTCAAACCAAAGAATTTGTTTTCTAAGAAAATTTAAATCTTTCCTTGATAAGATAAAATAAGTGAAATTGTTTGAAGCTCAGTGCCAGGTTTTATGAGATGAGAAAATGACCTTCAAATTTTCCATTTGTAGAAATGAAAGATAAAAGGTCAAAAACCTTGACCAAAAAAGACAGAAATAATAATAAATGTTCCTCATCATCACCAATCACTGACTGCAGACCCAAAAACACTGAATTATTTCAGTGGCGATGATTTTAACAAAACGACAGCAAAGTTGGTCTTAAAGAAGAAAGGATTGTCTCTTCTGATTGGCGCGACTAGGATTTACTTTCCCACTTTTCTCCAACGTTCCACGCCCTCATTTCGCGCGTGTAAATTTTGTCAAAACCTCCACTCGGAAACCCCTCAAAACTCTCCCTCACTCGCCTCCGCAGCGCGTCGGCGTCCGCAACCCGACCCTCGCTCTAAGCTTCGTCGAAAGCAGCATCGCCGAGAAAACAAGGAACACGATAGAGACAAAGAGGTAGTGTGTTTGGTTTTGATTGGCTTATGAGAGTTTAGACTGAGTAAGAGAGAGAGAAAAGAGTCGCAGTTAACGAACGAACAAAAAGCCCAATCAATCAGCCTCCTCCTGTTCTGACAACCCAAAACAATGGCCGAGTTGACTCAGGGCGAGGTGGTCTACTCGCCCAAAACTCTCCAAGTATGGCGAGCCTTGGTGAACTGGTTCGGCTTCTTCTTCCAGATCTTCCTCCAAATCCTCAGAGCCCTCGGCCACCACCCCCTCCTCTCTTCTTCGTCTTCGGCTTCGTCTTCTTCCGCCTCCTTCAAATCCCTGCCGGTCGTCGAGTTGCCGGAGCTCGAGCACGACTCTCCCGCCGCCTCCGCCGTTGAAATCGCCGACACCCCAGATGCCGACTCCGACGACCGCATCCACAAGCTCACGGTACGCTTTCGAATTTCAGCAACTTTCTATTTTTGTAAATAAAAATCTTGAATTACTGGAATTCTTGTTCTAATTTTTTGTTTTATTCATGTCCTGTATTAATCAATTCAAAAAAGTTTTGATTTTGGTATTAGTGGAATGTTATATATAGCTGTTTATTTATTCAAACAAAAAAATCAGAGCTTCTCCACCTCCCTCCACTATATTTCTAGTTGAATAAGTGTTTCATATGAATTTAGAAGCTAATTTACGAATTTGATGAATAATTAAAGCTAATGGGACGAAGAATTAGTTTACTAAAAATGGATGGATGATATGGAAATTCAGTAGAGAGAGAGAGAGAGAGAGAGAGAGGGAGGTGTGGTGGGTGTGCAGTCCACTCTTTCTTTTTTGTGTGTTTGGCACTAAAGAGCTAATACTACAGGTAGTTCTTGACCTGGATGAAACTCTAGTGTGTGCATATGAGTCGTCTAGCTTGCCTGCTGTCGTTCGAGATCAAGCTACAGAAGGTGGGTTGAAGTGGTTTGAGCTTGAATGCCTATCTTCAGACAAGGTGCTTTTCTTCTTTAATTGATTATCTTGTCTACATTTAAAAGATGCAAAGTTTGTTTACATGAGTGTGTTGGAGTTTGAAGGAATGTGATGGGAAACCAAAGGTCAATTATGTTACTGTCTTTGAGCGTCCCGGGTTGCAAGACTTCTTAAGACAAGTCAGTCAGTTTGCAGAGCTGGTGTTGTTTACTGCTGGTCTTGAAGGTTTGCTTATAACCTTCCATTTCCTTTTTTATTTTTCTCTTAATTTGGCCCTTCCTTTTCCTCTAACTATTTGGAATGTCTATGTTTCTGAATTGTATCAGGTTATGCTAGACCACTTGTTGACAGAATAGATGTTGATAATCTATTCAGTTGTCGACTTTATCGGCCTTCAACAACCAGCACGTAAGTGATGCTCCCTGTATTTTTCATCTTCTGTAACCAGTTTTGGGTCTCTTTTCCAAAATTAGTAGCTATTTGCAAGGAAAACCTCATCTGAGATTTTATCCGACCTATCTACATGAGTTTCTTCTGTTGCTTTTGCAAAAAA